AAACTTGAAAGTAATTACTCCTATTTTGGAAATAAAAACATGACAGTCCTATTTTGGAATTTTCAAACTCTTTTAGTCCTATTTCGGGAACTTTCCCAAAAGAAAAGCATAATTGTTGAAAAAGATGAAGTTTGAGTCTTTTTTAGATAGAAATAAATGAATATGATAGATTTGTGGATTTGATAATAGTTTGGGATAAAATAAGCTAATAATCCTATATATTTTTTATGATTTTATACAAAATTGGTGTGAAATAAATACTTCAATACTCATTTAGTACGGAGTATTTTGAAAGTGAACTAGCATTTCCTAAAATGATCGGACTGCAAGTCTGGGTGGACAGATTTGGTAGGATGATCAAAGTTTTGACCTTACAAAACAGACGAAAATTCAAATATACTTTTAGTGATAACAATTCACCTTTAGTTAACGTTTCTTAGATTTTATTTGGAATCAAGACAATAACATGGGAATAAAGATAACTCATTTCTTTCTAAGGTAAAACAACAATAATGTCACGTTACGCCAAATAAAAGCATTCAAAAAACTGTTTGGGCACTTCTGTGTCTTCACGTGATTTAGGGATCAAATTGGTACAAGAAAGGGACATCTAAGATTGGAAAACAGATTTAAAAAAACTCCATAAGAAGAAGAAAGTAATACAAATGCAGTTTCAACACAGGAAACAAGGTGCCTCTACAGGGAACATCCAATAATAAATCTCCACATTTGCGTATCCCTTGAAAATGGAAAAACTTTTGGTACTTTTGTCCCATGTTTCACCTAAGTATAAGTTACTCTTTGAGTTTATTGTTTGGTCATTTATTCCCCATGTGCTTTCAATACATTTTTTACAATGGTTGGTACTCACCAAATCAGGATCGATAATGTCTATTGAGGAAGTGGTCCATATGATTGATCTCTATTATAACTATAGGGTATAAAACGCAAGGTTCTTTAGTATAATAATATTTACATTCCATTCATCCCAAAGAGAAATTGTCGCTTATCTATTTAGATGCCCGTAGTGATGTTTCATTTCCATAAAAATAGATCTTTTTATTAAAAAAAGTCGCAATTAATCCTACTTCTTACTTGATTTGACTCAGAGTAAAAGTACATTTAGAAAATTAAAATAAAAAAACTAAATCTTTCATAATATGTTTATCAGTCAAAGTGAAAACCTTTTTTACGAGACAAAAGAAGTAAATAATAACAAGAAAAAATTCTATTAATAATACTCTTTCAAAATGTGATGGACAAAAATATTACTCCGTACTTAGTAACTTTTAGTGACTATAATCGTGTCCAAACTTACGTTGTAGTAATTACATGTAAGTTACTGGGATGTAAACTTTAAACGCAATTGTAGCAACCAATAGTTATTAAATTATATACTACACGGTATATTTTTATACATGACCTTTTTATTAGTAATATTTAAGAAAAAAACCGTTTTATTAAATAATAACATATACCGGAGTATATGACTAATATAAATATTATAGGCAAAAAAACTTCTATAAACATGACAACATTATTAGAGCTTTTTCAAATATATTACTCAAATGAAACTTATTTATAAAAATACGACTAATATTTACTATAATCTAGTCTCATAGTCATTTAAATATTAAATTCAACATAGGTTAGTACAAGTAAGTTACTAATATAGTCACTACCGATAGGATCTCAACAAGCTGGTTGTCGTGAGGGTGCAGCCCACCGTGGAACGGCTGTTCGGCCTGGGGCTGCTGTATGCCGTGGGGCTGCTAACCCCATAGAACTGCTGGTGACCGTATGCGGGATGGCCGTCATATGGTTGTGGCCCTCCTCGACCGCGGCCGAGGCCTCCACGACCCCTTGCGCGACCCCCTCTACCGCGCATGTACTTACCACATGGCTGCTGTCCAGCACCTACTGCAGCGGAAAACGCTTGGTGACCAACTGCCATCTTCTGCTGACTTTGATAGAGAGCCTGTTGTTCTTGCTCCCGTAGACGGGGGTGGAGAATATCAAAAGGAAAGTTGTCGGCAAACAAAGAGACTATGGTAACCAGGGAAGCATACTCAGGACCCAAACCAGAAATAATAGTCTCGAGCAACTCTTTATCCGACACAAGAGATTTAATAGCACCAAGGGCATCCACCAAATTTTTAATGTCCCTCAAATAATGTTCCAACTTCCATGGACTGATTATCTTTCTTTTTCATGTTGGATAATAACCGTTTAAGTTTCATACATCGGGGTAGACTAGCAGACATGAAATGAGTCTAAAGTCTTTCCCAGATTGCAAAAAAAATGTTTTAATTCATGAACATCAACTAAAACATCACGAGTGAGAGTAGCAAAAATCCAGCACTAAATGGTTTGATCTACTCTCAGCGAGTGATAATATTTAGAATTAGGAACCTGACGATTATTAAAATCAGTATTGAACATGGGAGGTACCTGAATAGAGCCATCTACCATGCCAAAAAGACTCTGAGACATCAAGAATGATTCAAATTGTGTGCGCCAGGTAAGGGTAATCCTCAACCGCCTTGAGTTTAATTGTTACAATTTGCAAGACGGTAGTAATGTGAGATATGGACTGAGTAGAGAGACCACAATGAGCGGATTATTAGGCCGAATGACACCAGGTGAGCCAGAGAACGTGGAGGCAAAAAATGGAGAAGATGGCACCGGTGGAGGCGGTGGAGTCACAGAAGATGATGCCCCAGAAATCTGCCACGGGAAACGTGGTGGCAAAGGCTGGAACAATGAGTAGGTTTCCGTCGTAGAAAACAAAGGCGGCGGAGGAAAATTGCTGAAGAGCATGGAAGATCTCGGCGGCAAGAGTGGAGAGCTCGCTGCGCCAGAAGCTTGAGTCGCGGACATCGAAGATGAGCCCTGCGACACCGTCGTGCTGGTGACAGAAGAAGAGACCTTTGGCGCCACGCTGAAGGAGGCTGCGACGGAGGATTGGACGCCGGACGAAGGAACCGCAGCGGAGGAGTCGGCGGAGGTATGCATACCTCTGTGGCGGCGGGAAAAAATTCAAGGAAGAGAGAGGAAAAAAAATATGGGCTCTTAATACCATGTGAAATAATGGGAAAGAGGTACTCCCTTAGGAGTCGTGGCAGGTATATTTATAATAAAATATCAGTTTCCAAAATACAAAATGATTCCTAAAATATATCAGCTATTATATTGTTTCACTTGGGAAATAAAATGCACTTGGGCTGCCGTATCTATTGAATTAGCCACGTAATGGGCCGTATAATTCCCTTCCCGCAAGACATGTCCGAAAACGAGGTCCATGTCCGTAGCCCTCCTCTTGAATGTCCCAAACCAGTCTTCCTATACACTTCCCATATCCGAAATCAGAAAAGTGGGTCTCATATAAAAGTGGGTCTCGGTATCAAACACCTATCGCACCTCCTAAAACACGGTCATGTTTATATGAACTCAACTCAACAAAATCATCAAATAAGTACATATACAATTATCTTACAACAACAAAATTCAATATGATGTTGTATCGAAAAAGATCCGTCCAGCTGTCCGGATAGGATCCTCTGTCCATATGCCGCCGTTTGAGGTGGTTTCCAGTGAAATATTTTGATGAACTTTTATGAACATGTTCTTCACGTAGTGTAGATTATATTCACAAAATTTCATCTTCAAATTGTCCATGCGGTGAGACAGGATCATCATGTATTCTGTTGTATTATGTTGTATACGCAGTATGATGTATACTTTCCTTTACTTTTAGCTCCACTATACTTCACCTTTCCCTATTTACTTTCCGTAAAATAAATTATTTATTTGCGGAGTCCATACTTTTAGTCTTTTACCTTAATTCAATTAAAACATTTTTTTGTCAAAAAGTTGGTCTAAGAAAGCAGTACTATCTATTGACCATTCAGCCTCTCTTTCAGAATTTTACCTTTGGACTTAACATAAATAAAATACTTATGTGGGATAAAAAGAATAATTTCGCCATAAAAGTCTTTCTATTTTGGATTGTAAAAGATCATAAGACGAATGGTAATGCAATGTTTAACCCAAAAACGCAAGTGAAGAGGCCGTTTGGCAACACTGTTTTTCGGCTTATCAGCCATCTTTTTTACCAAACACGTAATTTTTGTTTTCCCGTGCTGAATTGTGTAATAAGCAGGAAAAGTAAGGTTGCAATTACTTTTCGGGCTGTATTGGCTGAAGTTACCGTAGATGACTATTTTAGCTATTTTTACATATAATTTTTTCTTTATTGTATTAATAAAATATATTTTAAAAATATTTTTTTCTTAAAACAGCAAAATCAGTCAATGCAGTCACTTCAGCCAGAACTTCATACTACGTATATTTTAGCAGAATCAGCCAAATCAGTCGATCAGTCGATTGTGTGCTATCAAACGGGCTCGAAGTGTGTTCACAATTGAGCCAACCAAAGAATGTAATATTTTTCCACCACCCAATGGGAAACCAACAGTGTATTCAAAATATTAACACACTTTTCACTAAATTCAAACTGTAGAATAGAGGGAATGTTGGATTGTTGGCTTTTAAGAATGCTCAAAAGAGTGAAAAGTAGAACATATCAATGATGGTGTTGAGGAGCAGATAGGATATGTGGAGATTATTCCATGATTTGGTCAAAGTATTAAGCTTACTTTTTCTTGCATTATTGAGAAAGCATTGGGCTGATTTTTGTACTTTACAGAACCACAATGTCTCACCCCTCCATACTTTAGTGTTTGGAGTTAGTCTATCATATTAGTCTACCAACAGTGGTCTTCCAGATTAGATCTACAATAGGATCAACTTAAGAACTTAACAATGGAATATAAGACCAATTTAACAAAAGTACAACTTCCTTGAATTCCATTTCCCTCCATTTTCCAAAATCAAAACGACAACGTTGCCAGGAAAAAAGGGTTAGCTTGACAAACTTGTCCAACACTAACAAAGTTACAAACAGATACTTCACCCCCCCCCACCCTACCCTACTCATTCCCCCACCATGTCTTTCTATTAATTTTACCACTATTATCCACTATGGACTTTTAGAAACTAACTAAACAGGAACCCTACATTCATCCAGTTCTTACTCCTTGACGTAAATATAGACAGTTTCTAAGTGTCATTCCAAGCAGCAAACACTGGGAGGTGAGATATGGTGTTTGGGAAGCAAGGATTGACATTGCCAGTTGGAATCAAGAACTTGGTTGCTGACATGGCAGTGGGCTTCGCGCAAAACACCATCGGCAAGCCACCTGCCACCTTGTCCGGACTCGCTTCTCTCGAGCTGCTCAGGCTGGTCACCAAGGACGACGGGTTCGACATGTGGCTACTCTCGTGGAGAAGCTTGTCGGGTTCATCATCGTTCTCGTACACGACATCATCATGCAGTCCCCCCAAGAACAACGGTTTCTGATGGTAGTTCCCCGTGTTAAGCTCTTTGTCATGCGGCATTGGTTCGAAAGGTGGGTTGGTGTTGTACAACATCATACTCCAGTCTGATGAATTCGCGGTTTTACTCTCATGAAGGCATTCTTGGTTCGGTTGAAGGGAAATGTTACTATACTCTATGGCCTCGACAGGCGCTGCCCTCTCCCTGTTCCTCCTCGCTGACTCCCCGGTAGGGAGAGTGTTGCTCGCCATTATCTTCCCAACGTCGTAGCGGGATATGTCAAAGTTTGTGACAGCACTCACGCCCCGAAATTTGATTGCAGCTATATCATATGCTTCTGCTGCTTCTTCCTGGGTGCCTATCAAGTTCATACATTAATCTATATCCCAATCAAAGACATCAACATATAAACTAACCAAATTCATCACTAAAATTCAAAAGTAAACATACACGTGATTATTGCACCGCTACTAATATGATTACTAAGCTAGTAAGCATTACATTTCATATTTTGTCCTATTTATTCAAAATAATTCACAGAAATAAGCTATTTGCTAAATAAAAAACTAAAAATATACAGACAAAGGAGTAATAGACTCACTAAAGGTTCCAAGATAAAGGTCTTTGTTTCCTGCAACTCTACCGATACGAGCTTGCCAGCGACCATGTTGATGATGCCTGTTCAAAAGAGTACAAAAATTGAGATTCCATGACAAAAAAAATTGGGCAAAATATTCCATAATTGTGCACGAAAATAAAGATTTCTTCGAAACCTTGTTACGCCGCGGTATATTGAAGCACCTCTGGAAAAACCACTGCTTTTCCTGGAATCATGAAAAAAATACAGTCAAATATTTGCAAGAACACAGTAGTGTCCGATTTAAAATACCAACGACTATGATTTTAAGATATTATTATTGATGTAAAAAGGAGTTACAACAGATTTAGCACTGTTTTTGGCAAAAAAATATGTCATCCAATCATAAACAAGGAAATACTTCGTACGTAGTTGGCAGTGAATTGGATCTTATTTTCAAGAAAACTAATGATGATTCAATTTACATAAATCATACGAAGTACTGTATTATTCCTTCAAATCCGGCAACAAGTTACCCATTTTACCTAAATAAATATGCATACAAAATACTGTATAATTTTACTTTTATTTTTCATATATTCCCTTTTTTCGTAGAATTCCAAATATACCTTTATTTTATTTCAAATAAAAAAGTAACAGTAAAAGTGATATTTGGCTAGTACTATCGTATAAACTTTATTTTTATAAAAATGAGAACATACGAAGTACTTCTGAACCTCCTATCATACTAGAAAGCACAAACAAGGGATTTATTTTTAGGACTAAATGTTTGTCCCAAAACAAGTGGATAAACAAACTTGAATAACTCTCACTTTTTATTACTCCATTCATCCCTCAATTATCTTAATTCATCACATGAATTAAGAAAGTGAGAATTGTGTGATAAAGAGTTTTGTAGAAAAGATATAAATGTGTGAAAATATACTACATATGTAATACGGAGTATAAAAATGCTATGAACCACAAATTATTTGTTAAAATGAAAAGAGAATACTACCTCCGTCCTCTTGGAAGGTTCCCATAGCAAAACGGCACGGTTATTTAGACAATAATTAAATAAAGTATTTCGAGTATATTTTGAGAAATAATTTTAATAGGTATATATTATAATGTAGTTAATATTGATAACTGTGATGTTATAAATGTATTATTTTTTATATTTAATGATTAATTTGTGACTTAAGATTGTTAATTGTTTCCTAAAATGGAAATGAGAACCTTTATATGAGACGTCCAAAAAAAGAAAGTGAGAACCTTCTAATGGGACGGAGGGAGTACTATTTAGAGACAAAAGAAAAAATAAAGTTAAAAGATAATTGAGGACCAAGTGGAATGTAAAAGGGTTAAAAGGTGAAATGTCAAAGTTAGAGATTCAAGTAAAACAAAGTAATTTATGAATTATACCCAAAATAAGAAAAGTACTCCGTATAATCTTTATTTCAAAACCCGCAAAAAGGAACTTTCATTTTCGGAAACAGGGAGTGTTTTAATACTCCGTAATAATCTTTACCAACTTCCCCTACATTATTTCCTTAGCCATATGTTAAATGTTAGCAATCAATAACCTTCTGAGATGTGCAACATATTCCTGGCGAGTCATGTTGGTCATATCCTCAAGTTCCTTGTGGTAGTTTTCCAGCTGCGAAGGTTGTGTTTGGTTAGCTTAGAAATTAATGAGCTTTCAAACTCTAGGTATATTAATGGGCTCGGGTCAAACCGGGAAGTTAATGTGGGTAGATGGGCCCCAATACTTTAGAGCTGCAAGATCATAAGCTCTTGCTGCTTTTTCTTCCATGTCATAGCCTCCTGCTCAAAGAACAAATTATTATTGCTTTTGTCACACAAAAAATAAAAATATGTGTCAAATATGCATTACATTCAGAAAATTAGAATGAAAACAAATATCTTACCCAAATATACTGATATTAGCAGCAGAAGTGAAATGCCATTTCCCAAGCAAGTATATACATGCCAAATAAAGTGCAGAGCTAAGGTCAGACCATTGCATAAAATGAGCCAAGCTAGAAGTCAGAAACAAATGCATAAAAACAAATCTGAGTATAGATTTGCCTCTAGATTCTCATACACATTTTTCAAAAATCAAAAAGATACATGGAAAACTAACCTTGCCTTCCCTTTCTGGTCTGCCCCTCCTTCTTGCAACTATTGTCCCACAGATGAGCTTCATACCTACCAGTCCACCTATGCCTGGTACATCAATAACGCGTTTTTACAACAATATTACTAAAATAAAACTTATTTACATAAATATGACTATTCATTACTACAAAAGAAGAAAATAATTAACAACATTATTTATGAATGAGAGCTAATTAGGAACTTAAATACCTTGTAACACCTCTATACTGGGATGTTCTTTGACCAAAAGTGTCAATGGATTTTCTATGGATGGGTTGTTTTGGAGTCACTTTCATGGAAGCCCTTTTCTTGGACTCCATAGCCACACATTCAAGTTCAGTAGAGGAAATATGCCTTGCAGCAGTGACACAACTGGACTGAGAGCCTGGACTCATAGACAAGGTCAGTGACTGCAACTCATTGCAACCCATCCCACTCCCACTGCTGGTAGTGGAGGTGTGGTGGTGGTCAAGGCCTTGTTGACCACCACCAAAATGACCAGAAGAACCCCAGTGTTTAAACTCATTTTCATCACAGTCAGCAAGATGATGGGCTGGTTTAGCCACCACCTGAAGTGGTTCTTGGTAAATTTCATGACATTGCAGGGTAGAATAGTAAGAATGGTGAGTTTGGGGTTCTTGAAAAAAGTCCATAGATCTCTGCCTAGATTCCTGGTCAGAGTTATGATAGTACATACTGTCCAAGCTAAGAGCCATTGCTTCCCTCTGATGACCACCAAAGGGATTTCCCCCCATTGTTGCACCTCCCAAAAAGTCCTCCAACTTTGGGCTATTGTCATTTGATACCATGCCTTTACAAGTAAAAAAAAATTAGAGCCAAGGAAAGAGGGGAGTAAAGGTAAAAAGGAGCAAGAAAAAATTGGTAAAAAGAAAGTTTTACCATTTGGTTGGGATCTTGAGAGGGGTTGCATAATACATAGTGAACCATCTGATTTGAGAGGCATAACTGGAAGAGGGAAGTGGAAGGGAGAAGGTTCTCCAACACCATAACATAGAGATGGAGAAAGGTGAAAGCTTGGGGCCATAGCTGTAGAAGGAGAAGGAGCCTCCATTTTCATATGCGGAGACATTAGAGAAAATCCCAACCAGCCATTGTTGTCATTGTTATTGTTCTTGTGATTCATATTTCTGCAAAAACAAAAAAAATGAATCTTTTGTCTGTCTCAGTTTTCTTAATCTCCACAAAGTGTTCATGGAGTTCAAGAAACTCAATCATTGAGACAATCATTTCTTTTCATCACAAAGAATGAAGAGAACGGAACCCCATAGTCATCATCGTCATCATCATCATTTATATCAAACTCACCACATAGTCTGTAGTGTAGCTGCAGTTGATGAAGTTGAAGATCAGAGCTCAAGAAGCATAGAGCAGAAAATACACGAGATACCCATTTTGTTTCCCTTGTAGAAACAAAAACAAAAACAAAAATAAAACTTTCTCTTTTCTCTCGAGAATAAGAAAAGTGGACGCTTTAACCAAAGCAAAGAGAATGAGTTTCAGCGAGCTATGGTGGGTTGCTATTCCCTTCATTCCATAGGGATCTGTGTGGGTATTTATTTATAATAATGACTACTCATATTTCTTGTACACTGTATATTGTTATCCATTTAAAAAGAGAAAATGGTAAATAAGGTCTTACTCCCTTCGTAACAAAAAAATATTCTCACTTTCCTTTTTCGTCCCTGACAAAAAAAATCTTCTCATTTCTAAATCTTCACATTATATCCTCAATAATTCTAAAAATAATACACTATTACAACTACTTTTTTTTGAATTTATCCTACATTCCATCACATTATTCCATTATCTTCTCATCATACCCTCAATAATTCATATTCTTTTTCACTATTCTTAATATACCTACTTTTTAAATGAGAAGATTTTTAAGCTACGGAGGAAGTATATAATTACGGAATCGTCATATAAAATCATGTACTCCCTCCGTCCCTAAATAAACTTCCAACTTTCTTTTTTCGTCCGTCCCAATTAAAACTTCCACTTTCCCTTTTTGGCCAGAGTTTGTGGTTCACAGCAATTCTTACACATTTCTCTCTCCTCTGCACAACTCTCCACCACATAATACTCACTATCTTAAACTGTGTGCTAAACCTATTTGGAAGTTTAATAAGGGACGGAGGGAGTACTTAATAAAGTGTCATGTAAATATGTCTACTTATAAAAAACAATTGGATGAGTCAAAAAGACTCGTTGCCAACCTCTTAATCCCGACTTTAGCTTACGTGTTGTTATTTTTTCTTTGTGTTTAAGTCAATCGTGATCAAATATATCACGTCGGCCTTATAATTTACTTCCTCTGTCCCATAAAATTGTTCCTACATTGACTTGGATCGGAGTTTAATAAAGTGATAATAAAGTGGAAATGTGTGGTTGTGGTTGAGTAATAAAAATGTAAATGAATGTGCGCCACACAAATTTTCCAAAAGGGGAAATTGGAACTATTTTTTGGGACGTCCCAAAAAGGAAACTGAGAACTATTTTCGGGACAGGGGGACTAAAATCGGATTTTTACGAGGACAACACCTATTTTGTGATTATATATAGAGGTAGATTTTCTTAAATTTAATTTGACAACACCTATTAAATGGAATGAGAGACAATTGACACCACTCAATTTTGTTATACTTATATATGTAGGGGTATAATTTCTAAAAAATAATTTGACACCACCTATATTTTCTTAAAATTAATTTGACACCTATATAAACGGAATGAAGGTCAAAGTATAAATATATTATAAAACCAGTATATATTTATGACTAAAATAAAATTAATTTACATTAATGTGACCTCTTCATTCATTCAGTGTAGTGACTTCAGTAGTAATTCTAGTCATAGTAACTTAATTATAGTGATCATGACATTATACTATAGTAACTTTTAGTCATATTTTTGTAAACACTCCCTCCGTCCAGTTAAGATCGTCTCATCTTTCTTTTTCGGTCCGTCATACTAAGATTGTCTCATAGTGAATTTAGTAAAGTTTGTATGATTTTAAATCATTCCTACTTTATTTTTACTTTATCAGATCAATATCAATCACACAAACTTATTTTCTTAACAACCCCGACCACTGCATCCTCATGTCCCAATGTTAGAAGGATGGAGGCAGCAAGTTTTATTTTAATAATATTTTAGGGAAAAAAACTATAAATATATATATTCAACAAATAATATATATGTTATAAAATCTAGTCATGGTTAATATAGAGTAGCCATTGTACATGTAAAACATGATATTTGACTGTCAAATAAGCTTTATTTCATGATTTCTATTAAGCTTTTGATAATTTAAATGATCAAAATTGATACCATAAACCGACCTTGTATCTTTCTCATTATATATTTAAATTGTTGAGATATGAAATAACTATTTAAATAGTGTATTGTTACTAGTTATTATTCAAATCATGTAATTTTTTTCTATTTTGTAATTTTAAAATTGACATGAATAAATGTAGAAACGTATAACTATCAATAAATTTATTTTCACTATCATGTCATAGATGTATCATTTAGTTTCAAAATTGATACCACTCAAATAAATCACTGGCTTTGTCCCTGCCTATGCATGAAAATGAAGAAGTTTTTTTGATAAAATAACAATTGATGGGAACAATACATTATGTGCATGATACTCTCACAACTAAAACACGCATGAATATATAGAAACTTTTTTATTTCACTAGCAGGGTGGTGTACCTCACGTGTAAAGAAATGTAACTCACGTTGATGAGAAATGTAACTGCAGACCAGTGAAAATGTAACTTGTTCGATATGGCATATAAGAAATATATAAAATCTGTATATCAATGTAAACAATGAAAAAAAGTCTAATTGCTCGATTGCATTATGTAAATGTTGAAACTAATACACACGAAATACTAAATAGACGTATAAAACCAGTATGAAGACCATGTTTTAATGTGGAAACCCAAAATGGTGAAAACCACAAGACTTTTTGGGCTAATGTCCAAATAACTCATTTTATTAGTCTCTCCTCACCAATATTACATAGTGCAAGTGTTAAGTTTAAGCCTTTGGAAGCCAATTAATAGAGCGTACAAGCTTTGCTAGAGAAGAAGAAGAAGCGAAGAACTAACTAAGGGAGGGAGAAGAGAGGGACATCCTAAGTATGGAGGGAAACCCTCCAATTTATAGAGAAAAGGGAGGAGGTAAAATATACCCTAATGGGCCGAAGCCGGCCGAAATGGGACGGATGGGCCAGAAATAGTCTGATGGGCCAAAATGGGCCACATTGATCTTGCTCTCTAATGGGCGTAATGCATTGGGCTCCTAAACAGTGATAGACCGACATAATATATCCCAATAGGAAATAATGAATATGTTTTGTTTTTAATACCAGGACCATTAAAAATTAATGATTTTATCAAAAAATAATTTTTTCAATATTAGCGGTTTGTTTTGTTATGTAACTCGTGTTATGGGAAATGTAATTCATGTTGATGGAAAATGTAACTTACTGTTGGGCCGTGGGTATGCGGTGCCAGCAATTGTCCAGCCTGCCGGTGCAATCGAACCGCGTGGCGCTTCGCATGTGCTATAAATGGGGAGGGGTGTGCTACACTATCAGCGATTGCTTTTAGTGTAACGGTAAGCGCAACGATCCACAATTGGTATCAGAGCCAAGGTCACGGGTTCGACCCCCGGCAACAGCATGTTGCACAGTTGAGGTTGGAAAGTGCTAGGGGGAGATTGTTGGGCTGCGGGTATGCGGTGCCAGCAATTATCCAGTCTGCCGGTGCAATCGAACCACGTGGCGCTTCACATGTGCTATAAATGGGGAGGGGGTGCTACACTATCAGCGATTGCTTTTAGTGTAGCGGTAAGCGCAACGATCCACACTTATGTGTATGCAAAACGTAACCTGTTGAAGCAAATCTAAATGTAACTCGCACATAAGAAGATGTAAATTGCGCGTGAAAAGATGTAACTCGCGCATGAAGAGATGTATCTCGCACATGAGAAGATGTAACATACACACTTGAAGATGTAAATCGCGCATTAGAAGATGTAACTAGCGCATAAAAAGATGTAACTCGAGTATAAGAAGATGTAGCTCACGCATAAGTAGATGAAATAACCTGCACATAAGAAGATGTAACTCTATATATTATCAATTGTAACTTCAAGAATCAAAATAAACAAACTCAATGTCTTAAAAAACTCTCAAACATATATGATAGATAAAATATATGATAGGGTATATGTGCTTATACCCATGACCCACATACTCTTGGACGTACAGACGGCCTAAGCCGATACCGGGGACATAAGGCCCAGCTAGAGAGCCCAGTTCATAATAAAGAGGCAGACTTTCTGTACACGCACCTCGGTATCTCCATCAACAAGGTCGAGGTGCACCCATGCACCTCGGACACATAACCATCACGCATCTCCATGACCCTCTTAGTGGATTGAAACACATGTAAACAGTCCATTAGTGGCCCGTGTTTCCGGCAAGAATGAAATCTCCAGTGACTCCTCTAACACATGTAAACCATTACAGTGACTCCTCTCAAAACAGTCCATTAGTCACCCATAGCTTCCAAAACAGAACGAGTTGCAAGATGGAAGTTTCCGGCAAGAATGAAATCTCCAGTGACTCCTCTCAAAACAGATCCACCAGCAGAAGATTTGTGCGAAAAAACTGCATTTACGTTCAACTTGAAGGTAGAATTTGGCGTCTTCCAATTATGTTTAAGGAATCTAGGAGAATGCCTTTTTTGTCTATTGCAATTAGATCAGCTTGAAATAAAAAATCCGGTATAATCAAACTCTTAAGGAATTTTATACCTACAGACTAGTGAAAATGCATGATCGAAATATAGACCCTTTTAAAGTATCCAAATGAAATTTGGTAGGGTTATCATCCAACATAAGATTAGCAAAACACTTCCAGATATGCCAAGTAATAATGCCCGGGAGACAATGTATTGATAGACATTATATTTACTTGTGTTTAACATAAGTATTTATAAGTATTTGTTGAAGAAAAGAAGAGAAATCGGACAAATACCTTCAAAATGAGAGCTAAGGCATAAAACATTGTGATGAACGGTTTTTTAGACCAAGAGGATGACGTTATGCCCATAATTTGAGTATAACGTATTGTAGAGAACTCGAAATCACTCGTTTCGAATTTCATGTGAATGTTAACTCAATAAGGTACAAATGTTATGAAGACGTCATGGCCAAAATATGAAAGGAACAAGACTCAATCAACCAACAAAGTCAGATGTTGCTGGTGGGATTTCAGGATGCATACCTCTCAGTGTTTTAGCCATAACGTTTGATTGGATGAATAAAATCACGTCATTCAAGTTTTGGTGGATAGACGACTTCATTATCTACAATTTTGGTGAAGGAATCATGTCCAAATTCATAGCAAAACATTCCCAAAATCCCGGTACAAAAACCGACACTTTTTTATCCATTTCGGAGGAAGAAAGACGAAGTTATACGGTACCACTGACAGGTAGAGCAGGA